CATATCTTGCAGTTGGTGCTGGCTCTCAGTAGGGGCACTTGGTTCTCCAGTAGCCTCTCATCCTCAGTAAGCTAGACTGGCTGCCTCTGTGTCAGTCTCAGGGCAGGATTCCCAGCAGACCAAGGCAGAAGCCTAAGGTCTAGTTTGGAAGTCACACAGCTACACTTCTACCACATTCTTTTGGTCAAAGCAGGAGATGAGACGAGCATAGATTCAAGGGGTGGGGAATAGAATCCTCTTCTTGATAGGATGAGCTGCAAAATGAGAGTGCCCAGGTTTTTCAATCTACAACAGTGCAAAACATCTAGACCGAGTGCCTTCAAGTGAAGAGGTTCATTAAAACCCAAGCAAAATGTGACTTTACTTTTCATTCAGGTAAGTAAGGATGTCAGTTGACTAAACATCTTCACTTCTGGTCACTGTAATAAAATCACTGTAACACTAACAAGTCAAGAGGATAGAAAATTAAGGAAACTACTAAAAATTGTCATAGGCCCAGAAAATGTTTGCAAGAGGAAGTAGAGGTACTAAGTCTGATTTCTGTAGGCAAACTGACCTGACAAGTGTAGTTTCCAAACCTCAGAGAGTTATGCCAATTTGATTCTGAGCCTCTTTAGTTAATAATAGAATGGAAAACGCCCAGCCAAAGGTTTTATTACTTAAAGGGAATTTACAGATTAACTCTTTTAAGTAACCATTGGTTGGCCAACATTCGCTGGCAAGAGTTTGCATTTTTACATTCTACCTTGCATAACTGATGAAAGTAAAATGAGATAATTAATGTAATGTGCCTAGTGTAATAACTTGCTTACCTTTGCCTCTAAAAAAAAATGATTGCTACTATCATTTTATTCAAGGCCTTTACCAAGAACTTGCATTGTTTAATGATAGATGGACCTTCTATTAGTATTTCTTAATATATTTTTATGGTCAAATTGGATGCTTGATAAACTTGCCTTAAAAATTTTCCAAGCTAAAATTATCATTGCCATATTCTATGGGGTAAATATTTAGAACCTCTGTTTTCTATTTGTACATATGTTGGAAACTTACCTAACACTATTGCAACAGTCAGCTATTGCTGTGTAATCACAAAAAGAATACCCGTGGCATTTAACAAAAGCATTGCTTTTGCTCATGGATCTGTGAAGTAGCTGGGGCAGTTCTGCCTCTGCCTGCAGCCCCTGGCTCTGCCTCGTGCTACAAGTCTACCCATAGGCTGGAATAGTTCTCAATGCATGTTTATTCTGAGCCCCAGACTAAAAGGGCAGCTGCTACCTAAAGTAAAGTTCGTCTCATGGTGATAGTATACGTACAAGAGGACAAGCAAAAATATGCAGGATCTCTTAAGGTCTAGGTTCAGAATTGGCATCCTGTCACTTTTGCCCAAGCCAGTGGAATAGCTAACTTCACCTTTAGTAGGAGGAACTACTGAGTCACAGGGCAAGCTCCAAGTTACAATATGGGATGAAGAGTCGAAGCCAATAATAGAATCTACCACAGTAATGACTATAGAATCTTGGCATGTTGGCAGATACTCCCTAATCTTACTTCCATAAAGAGGCATGTATCCAGGTTAGGCTTCTCATACTTTCTCAATAGGGTAAAAATCCCTTCATTGGCTGACTGTTGAAGCTTATGATTCTTTCCTCAAATAATAACATGGGATGTCTGCCTGTTAGTTACCTAACAGAGTATACCTGTGAATTCTGTGCTGCCTCATAACTATAAAATCCCAGTTTGGAAAATCATATTTGCAGAGGATTTCTTAATGGATTATCCATCCCTCAAAATAGGCTAAATTTCATACCTTGAACAAGACAGGTTACAAAAAAGCTTCTCTGTACAGCATAGCATGTTGGCCTCTTGTAAAATTGCTTTTACTTAACTAAGCTTGGATATTAATCTCTCTGCCTACATTGCAGAAAGTTATAAAGAAATAGTTTATAGACCTAATTATTAGTTAAGGTTGACATTGGTGTGATCTACACATTCCATTTTTCGAATAACCATAGAAGAATTTTCTCTTGGCTCACAGAAACAAGAATTTTCCATACGCCTCCTGACAAATTGGCTTATTTTTATCTTATAGTCACTGTGAAGTAGCTGATCATCTTTCCATTTTTATATTGGCCAGTAGGAAGCTCTGATGCAGACTTACAAGCCATCTCTGCTGGAGCACAGAGCCTTATGCATAGTGTAGCCATTGTGTGTCATGCTTTAATACATATTAAATCCTTAGAAGTGCTTGGCACATAGAAAGTGCTAAATGTGTCTGCCATTTTTAACATTATTTTATTATTATTATGGATAATAATGAGATAAGTTGGGTAGAATGGGATCCTAATATCTGATCTCCTATATCATTTTGGAATTAAAAGTGCTGAATTCGTCTGTTGCTTTTCAAGACTTTTGTAATCAAATTACCTAATAGGTAAGCAGGCCAAATATCAGATGGGGAAATTTTCTTCTCTCTCTGCTTAACTAATATTTTACTGATTAAGTTTAAGTTTGTACTGTTGGACCAAAATAAATTTCCACTTCTTGCCAAGAACACTTATAATGATATAAGCAAAAACTTCAGCAAAGACCAAAATAAATATTATTAAACAGTGGCCAAGAGACTGAACCTCTCTCTAATCGTTTGTGGGATGAGGATTGGTGAGGGTAAGAAGTCCAATAAGGAACTCTCTTCTTCACAACAGCTAGTTTTTGGCCTAAGCTGGGCCGCCAAAATTTTACTTTGCTCCCTTGTTCTGTGGACTGGGTGGAAGTAACGGGCCAAATCAGTTAGGATTGATAATCTCACTAGCAAAGACACTATTCCCCCAGGATCTCCTGCGGGGAGAACAGACCAGAGTACAGCTTTTGATCAAAGAAAAGAAGATGAATTTTTAAAAATTTAAAGAAAAGAATAGAATGTAATATGCAAAAAATATATGAAAAATCTATACTAGAAGAAGACGTCCAAGATAAAATTCTCAGGTAATAAACTAGAAAGATTTTACACCCTAAAATAAATTATAGAGTATATCTACAGTGAGGAATCTGCAAATATTTTATATCCCAATGAAGAGGGTATAGGGAAAAAGCAGTTAAATTAAATTAGATATTAAAATGTAGGCTAATTTAGTTATCTATATTAAATTGTAGATAAATTAGTTTAAATGTAGATAGTTGGTTTTTTAAAGACAAAAATAATACCATGCAAGTTTTGTGGGAAGCAATTTGACAATATCTATAAAAATAACAAATGCCAGTAGGAGGACTTTATTCTGTGTGACATATGTGTGTGTAAAACATGTGTAGAATCATATGTGTATTAAATGATGTATATATGAGATTATTTATTGCAACATTGTTTGTGCTAGTAAACTATTGGCAATGACACGAATTCCCATTTGTTGGAGACCAACCTAATAAATTATGACAATTCATACACTGCAATATGCCGCCATTAACCAAAATGAGGCAGATATTTGTATAATAATAATCCAAGCTCTCCAAGATGTATTGTAAGGAAGGTATGGAAAAAGGGCTATAGAATTACTGTTCATGTAATAATACTTATTTACATTTACTTGTTTTCATATACACATCTCTGGAGGGATCCAAAAGAAAATGACAAAAGTGCTAGCTCCTAGGCAGGAACTGGGTATCAAGTGCAAGGGAGTTTTTCACTGTATACCTTTGAGTTCCTTTTGAAGTTGATGTCATATGCATTTAAATTCATTAAAAATGATATTAAAGAAATAATGAATTCATCTGAAACAACAAGTAGCAAAATTGATCGGCGCAGTCAATCTGTGATATGGAGGACAAGCTTGAGAAAATCATGCAGAATGCTGAGAAAAATGTCAGAGAAGTGGTCCAAAGAGGTATGGAAGACACATCACAGAGGTTCAACCTATAAATAATCAGTATCACTAAAGTATGTGTATTATGACCCTAATTTTGTAAAGATAAAGCTATATATACAGATAAATTACCTTATATTTGTATGTGTAAATATCTACTTATATGTAATTGTATCATCATCAACAAAAAAACAGCACTTACCATGTACCAGGCACTGTTCCAAGTGCTCTATAAATACTACTGTTAATCTTCCCAACAACTCTGGGAGGTAGGTAGTTACCCCACCATACAGATGGGATTCCAAGGCACTGAGAGTTCAGCTTCTTGCCCCACAGTCACACAGTACGTGACAGAGCTAAGATCTGCACCCAAGCAGTTTGATTCCCAAACCTGCCTTCTCAACTGCCAGGTCACAGTGCCTCCCTGTTGTGTAAAGAAAAATGTTTCGGAGATTAAGCAACAGTCAATTAATATCTGGAGAATGAAACTGTTGGGAATTTTTTTTCTATATTAACATGTTTATATCATTTAAATTTTTATAATAAAGTACTACTTTTGTAATTTAGAAAAAAAGTAGCTATAAATTGAAGAGGGAGTATAAACCACTAAGCAACATGAGACTACTCTCCCTAACTCACTCTTATTACCAGAAGTTTTGTAAGAAACCATGTTTTTGGAAGAAATCTACAGAACTCATGACACACTTCCTACAAGTCCAGTTTTTAGGGTTCTCCCTGATGCTCATTGATCTGTTAGCCAGTAAAGTTCTCTGATTGCAGGTAAATAATGTCTACTTTGCTCCGTGTGGCACTCTCTTAAAACAGAGTATGCCAGGATTCCTTGTCCCTCCAACTTACGCTTATCCACCTAAATCACTGAGTTCTGGCTCCTACATAGATGTATATAGTTGGACCTTGCTGCTGCTCCTCTAATCACCGTGTCAGCTTCAAAACTCTAGCCTGGATAGTATGGTCCTCTCTGTAAGGATTACTGTTTTATGTCTTTCTCATTTCAGTTAAACAATACTGGAGAGAGGAACCAAGATGGCAGAGTAGAAGGATGTTCTCTCACTCCCTCTTGCGAGAACACCAGAATCACAACTACCTGCTGGACAGTCATCGACAGGAAGACACTGGAATTCACCAAAAAAGATACCCCACATCCAAAGACAAAGGAGAAGCCACAATGAGACGGTAGGAGGGGCGCAATCACAGCAAAATCAAATCCCATAACTGCTGGGTGGATGACTCACAAACTGGAGAACACTTATACCACAGAAGTCCAACCACTGGAGTGAAGGTTCTGAGCCCTACGTCAGGCTTCCCAACCTGGGGTTCCGGCAACGGGAGGAGGAATTCCTAGAGAATCAGACTTTGAAGCCTAGTGGGAATTGATTGCAAGACTTCGACAGGACTGGGGGAAACAGAGACTCCACTCTTGGAGGGCACACACAAAGTAGTGTGCGCATCGGGACCCAGGGGAAGGAGGAGTGACCCCAGGGGAGACTGAACCAGACCTACCTGCTACTGTTGGAGGGTCTCCTGCAGAGGTGGGGTGTGACTGTGGCTCACCGTGGGAACAAGGACACTGGCAGCAGAAGTTCTGGGAAGTACTCCTCGGTGTGAGCCCTCCCAGAGACTGTCATTAGCTCCACCAAAGAGCCCAGGTAGGCTCCAGTGTTTGGTGGCCTCAGGCCAAACAACCAACAGCCCCACCCATCAACAGTCAAGTGGATTAAAGTTTTACTGAGCTCTGCCCACCAGAGCAACACTCAACTCTACCCCCCACCACTCCCTCCCATCAGGAAACTTACACAAGCCTCATAGATAGACTCATCCACCAGAGGGCAGACAGCAGAAGCAAGAAGAACTACAATCCTGCAGCCCGTGGAATAAAAACCACATTCACAGAAAGATAGACAAGATGAAAAGGCAGAAGGCTATGTACCAGATGAAGGAACAAGATAAAACCCCAGAAAAACAACTAAATGAAGTGGAGATAAGCAACCTTCCAGAAAAAGAATTCAGAATAATGATAGTGAAGATGATCCAGGACCTCCGAAAAAGAATGGAGGCAAAGATCGAGAAGATGCAAGAAATGTTTAACAAAGACCTAGAAGAATTAAAGAACAAACAAAGAGAGATGAACAATACAATAACTGAAATGAAAAATACACTAGAAGGAATCAATATCAGAATAACTGAGGCAGAAGGACGGATAAGTGACCTGGAAGACAGAATGGTATCTGCTTCACTGCTGCGGAGCAGAATAAAGAAAAAAGAATGAAAAGAAATGAAGACAGCCTAAGAGACCTCTGGGGCAATATTAAACACACGAACATTTGCATTAAAACGGTCCCAGAAGGAGGAGAGAGAGAGAGGAGCTGAGAAAATATTTGAAGAGATTATAGTTGAAAACTTCCCTAACATGGGAAAGGAAATAGCCACCCAAGACCAGGAAGCGCAGTGAGTCCCATACAGGATAAACCCAAGGAGAAACATGCCGAAACACATAATAATCAAATAGGCAAAAATTAAAGACAAAGAAAAATTATTAAAAGCAGCAAGGGAAAAATGACAAATAACATACAAGGGAACTCCCATAAGGTTAATAGCTGATTTCTCAGCAGAAACTCTACAAGCCAGAAGGGGGTGGCATTATATGCTTAAAGTGATGAAACGGAAAAACCTACAACCAAGATTACTCTACCTGACAAGGATCTCATTCAGTTTCAATGGAGAAATCAAAAGCTTTACAGAGAAGCAAAAGCTAAGAGAATTCAGCACCACCAAACCAGCTCTACAACAAATGCTAAAGGAACTTCTCTAAGTGGGAAACAGAAGAGAAGAAAAAGACCTACAAAAACAAACCCAAAACAATTAAGAAAATGGTCATAGGAACCTACATATCGATAATTACCTTAAACGTGAATGGATTAAATGCTCCAACCAAAAGACACAGGCTTGCTGAATGGATATAAAAACAAGACCCATCTATATGCTGTCTACAAGAGACCCACTTCAGACCTAGGGACACATACAGACTGAAAGTGAGGGGATGGAAAAAGATATTCCATGCAAATGGAAATCAAAAGAAAGCTGGAGTAGATAAAATAGATCAGATAAAATAGACTTTAAAATAAAGAATGTTACAAGAGACAAGGAAGGCACTACATAGTGATCAAGGGATCAATCCAAGAAGAAGATAAAACAATTATAAATATATATGAACCAAACCTAGGAGCACCTCAATACATAAGGCAACTGTTGACAGCTATAAAAGAGGAAATCAACAGTAATACAAAAATAGTGGGAGATTTTAACACCTCTCACCAATGGACAGATCATCCAAAATGAAAATAAATAAGGAAACAGAAGCTTTAAATGACACAATAGACCAGATAGATTTAATTCATATTTATAGGACATTCCATCCAAAAACCGCAGATTACACTTTCTTCTCAAGTGCGCATGGAACATTCTCCAGGATAGATCACATCTTGGGTCACAAATCAAGCCTCAGTAAATTTAAGAAAATTGAAATCATATCAAGCATCTTTTCTGACCACAACACTATGAGATTAGAAACGAATTCCAGGGAAAAAAATGTAAAAAACACAAACACATGGAGGCTAAACAATACGTTACTAAATAACCAAGAGATCACTGAAGAAATCAAAGAGGAAATCAAAAAAACCTAGAGACAAATGACAATGAAAACACAATGATCCAAAACCTATGGGACACAGCAAAAGCGGTTCTAAGAGGGAAGTTTATAGCAATACAAGCCTACCTCAAGAAACAAGAAAAATCTCAAATAAACAATCTAACATTACACCTAAAGGAACTAGAGAAAGAAGAAAAAACAGAAACCAGAGTTAGTAGAAGGAAAGAAATCATAAAGATCAGAGCAGAAATAAATGAAATAGAAACAAAGAAAACAATAGCGAAGCTCAATAAAACTAAAAGCTGGTTCTTTGAGAAGATAAACAAAATTGATAAACCATTAGCCAGACTCACCAAGAAAAAGAGGATGAGGACTCAAATCAATAAAATTAGAAATGAAAAAGGAGAAGTTACAGCAGACACCGCATAAATAAAAAGCATCCTAAGAGACTACTACAAGCAACACTATGCCATTAAAATGGACAACCTGGAAAAAATGGACAAATTCTTAGAAAGGTATAACCTTCCAAGACTGAACCAGGAGGAAATAGAAAATATGAACAGACCAATGACAAGTAATGAAATTGAAACTGTGATTAAAAATCTTCCAACAAACAAAAGTCCAGGTCCAGATGGCTTCACAAGCAAATTCTATCAAACATTTAGAGAACAGCTAACACCTATCTTTCTCAAACTCTCCCAAAAAATTGCAGAGGAAGGAGCACTCCCAAACTCATTCTATGAGCCCACCATCACCCTGATACCAAAACTAGAGAAAGATACTACAAAAAAAGAAAATTACGGACCAATATCACTGATGAATATAGATGCAAAAATCCTCAACAAAATACTGGCAAACAGAATCCAACAACACATTAAAAGGATCATACACCATGATCAAGTGGAATTTATCCCAGGGATGCAATGATTCTTCAATATACGCAAATCAATCAATGTGATATGCCATATTAACAAACTGAAGAATGAAATCCATATGTTCATCTCAATAGATGCAGAAAAAGCTTTTGACAAAATTCAATACCCATTTATGATAAAAGCTCTCCAGAAAGTGGGCATAGAAGGAACGTACCTCAACATAATAAAGGCCATATACAACAAACCCACAGCAAACATCATTCTCAATGGTGAAAAACTGAAAGCATTTCCTCTAAGATCAAGAACGAGACAAGGATGTCCACTCTCGCCACTATTATTCAACATAGTTTTGGAAGTCCTAGCCACAGCAATCAGAGAAGAAAAAGTAATAAGAGGAATACAAATTGGAAAAGAAGTAAAATGTTACTGTTTGCAGATGACATGATACTATACATAGAGAATCCTAAAAATGCCACCAAAGGGGCTTCCCTGGTGGCACAGTGGATGGGAGTCCACCTGCCAATGCAGGGGACACGAGATCGTGCCCTGTTCTGGAAGGATCCCGCGTGCCGCGGAGCGGCTGGGCCCGTGGGCTGTGGCCGCTGAGCCAGCGCGTCTGGAGCCTGTACTCTGCAACGGGAGAGGCCACAGCAGTGAGAGGCCCGCGTAACGCAAAAAAATAATAATAATAATGCCACCAGAAAACTACTAGAGCTAATCAATGAATTTGGTAAAGTTGCAGGATACAAAATTAATGCACAGAAATCTCTTGCATTCCTATACACTAATGATGAAAAATCTGAAAGAGAAATTAAGGAAACACTCCCATTTACCATTGCAACAGAAAGAGTAAAATACCTCGGAATAAACCTACCTAGGGAGACAAAAGACCTGTATGCAGAAAACTATGACACTGATTAAAGAAATTAAAGATGATACCAACAGATGGAGAGATATACCATGTTCTTGGATTGGAAGAATCAATATTGTGAAAATGGCTATACTACCCAAAGCAATCTACAGATTCAATGCAATCCCTATCAAATTACCAATGGCATTTTTTATGGAACTAGAACAAATAATCTTAAAATTTGTATGGAGACACAAAAGACCCCGAATAGCCAAAGCAGTCTTGAGGGAAAAAAACGGAGCAGGAGCAATCAGACTCCCTGACTTCAGACTATACTACAAAACTACAATAATCAAGACAATATGGTACTGGCACAGAAACAGAAACATAGATCAATGGAACAAGATAGAAACCCCAGAGATAAACCCACACACCTGTGGTCAACTAATCTATGACAAAGGAGGCAAAGATATACAATGCAGAAAAGACAACCTCTTCAATAAATGGTGCTGGGAAAGCTGGACAGCTACATGTAGAAGAATGAAATTAGGACACTCCCTAACACCATACACAAAAATAAACTCAAAATGGATTCGAGACCTAAATGTAAGACTGGACACTATAAAACTCTTAGAGGAAAACATAGGAAGGACACTCTTTGACATAAATCCCAGCAAGATCTTTTTTGATCTACCTCCTAGAGTAATGGAAATAAAAACAAAAATAAGCAAATGGGACCTAATGAAACTTCAAAGCTTTTGCACAGCAAAGAAAACCATAAACAAGACGAAAAGACAACCCTCAGAATGGGAGAAAATATTTGCAAACGAATCAACGGACAAAGGATTAATCTCCAAAATATATAAACAGCTCATGCAGCTCAATATTAAAGAAACAAACAACCCAATCCAAAAATGGGCAGAAGACCTAAATAGACATTTCTCCAAAGAAGACATACAGATGGCCAAGAAGTACATGAAAAGCTACTCAACATCACTAATTATTAGAGAAATGCAAATCAAAACTACAATGAGGTATCACCTCACACCAGTTAGAATGGGCATCATCAGAAAATCTACAAACAACAAATGCTGGAGAGGGTGTGGAGAAAAGGAAACCCTCTTGCACTGTTGGTGGGAATGTAAGTTGATACAGCCACTATGGAGAACAGTACGGAGGTTCCTTAAAAAACTAAAAATAGAATTACCATATGATCCAGCAATCGCACTACTGGGCATATACCCTGAGAAAACCATAATTCAAAAAGACACATGCACCTCAATGTTCATTGCAGCACTATTTACAATATCCAGGACATGGAAGCAACCTAAGTATCCAACGACAGACGAATCGATAAAGAAGATGTGGTACATATATACAATAGAATATTACTCAGCCACAAAAAGGAACGAAATTGAGTCATTTGTTGAGATGTGGATGGATCTAGAGACTGTCATGCAGAGTGAAGTAAGTCAGAAAGAGAAAAACAAATATCGTATATTAACGCATGTATGTGGAACCTAGAAAAATGGTAGAGATGAGCCGGTTTACAGGGCAGAAGTTGAGACACAGATGTAGAGAACAAACGTATGGACACCAAGAGGGGAAAGCTGCGGGGGTGGGGTGTGGGGATGGTGGTGTGCTGAATTGGGCGATTGGGATTGACATGTATACACTGATGTGTATAAAATTGATGACTAATAAGAACCTGCTGTATAAAAAACAAACAAACAAAAACTAATACTAAACTTTCTTTGGGTTATTTTTATGGAAATATTTTAATATAAATGTTTCAGACATTACATGAAATTCCTAAAAATCTTATATGTTCTGGTATAATGTTATAAGTCATAATTCTAGTTATTACTTTAAAATGTATATCTCAGAAATAACTAAATTTCCTTGTCAATTGCATTATTATGAACTTTCATCAAATCTTTAACCGTGGTCATTTTTAAGTCTTTTGTCATTTACAGACAGTTCTGGGTGTACTCTGATGCTTTTACAAAAATGTTTCTATAAAAGGGTTTCATCTTCATCCTTTCATTTTCACCTTCATCATGGAAAAGACTCTGACAAGTACAGGTTTCTGGTAACTGACTATACTGCTGAACTGAATGAATAAGCATTTTCAGAACTCTAATGGAAAACTGATGAATTCATAAAAATTCTAAGAAAAGATCAAGATGAAAAAATAATTAATGACATGGGACTGAGTGAACTGGTGAGAATTATTATAATTTTTGTGACTTTCTGTTTGAATAAAAAAAATTTAAAAAAAAACAGTACCAACATGTCTTGGTTCAGGCTGCAATAAAAGAATATATTTCTATTATTAACAGAAATTTATTTCTCACAGTTTTGAAGGCTGGGAAGGCCAAGATCAAAGTGCTGGCAGATTCAATGTCTGGTGAGAGCTTGCTTCCTGGTCCATAGACTGCCTATGTGTTCTTCTCACTGTGTCCTCACCTGGCAGAAAGGGCAAGGTATGTACCTGGGGTCTCTTTTATAAGAGAGCTTTACCTTACCTCCATGACCTAATCACCTCCTAAAGGCCTCTTGTCCTTATACTATCACACTGAGGCTTAGGATTTCAGTTTGTGCATTTTGGGAAGATCAAGCAATGTAGCAAATTTATGGAGGTGAGCCTTATGATAGCAATTGTGACACTTCTAATAGCCCCAAACTTTGGGGATGTTCCACGTTGAAAGCAATGCTGTAAACAGCCTTTCCACTGCTTATAATTTCTACACTATAATGCAACTTTTATTATATTTAATACAATTCCTACAATATATACTATTATGTAAGAACTGATACGAACTAATCTATAATATACATTGTATATAAATATTATATTTATATACAATGTATATTACAGATCAGTATGTATATAATAGTATGTACTATTATATACACACATGCATGCATGAGCACGCCTGCACGCACGCGCGCGCGCACACACACACACACACACACACACACACACTAGATGTTCATCACATTGATGAGGGACACAGATAATTGAGTCTATTTGAAATTTAAGCTTTTCACCATGGTGTTGTTTGAATAGCTATGTTCCCTTTATCTTAAGACTTCTAGTGCTGATGGCATTTTCTCTTTCATGACAGTAGGATGTTTAGTAAGACACTAAGGCTTATATATAACATTTAAAATTATTAAGAATAAGCAATTATAAAAATCTTAAGAGCATCTTTCCCTCTCAAGAATCTAGATGTCTGTCAAGAGCCTAGATCGCCTTAACCGTTAAGATTATTGTAGAATTAACAAATTCAACTTGTTCCTGGTCTCTGTCAGGTTTATTTAGATATAATAACTCCTATGTGTGGGCATACCGTGAAAAATAGATATGATGAGATGTAGCTGTAATAAGTGTAGGTATAATAACAGCTTCTATGTATCTGTGTGGCGTGGGGATCCCAGCTTGAACTTAAAGTACGTCTACAGCTCTACTGACAATTCCCACCCTCTCCCGCCATTGAATTATCAGGAGTCCTTGGGGAGCTTGGCTTGAAGCAAAGCCTGTCTCCCAAACATGCCCAGGCATGTTGGAACAATGTGTTGCCAAAAGATTAGAAATCACGAAATACCATGGGACAGAAAATGAGGTCCCAGTTGGCCTAGTTTCCTTAGTATTTCTGCCTAATGAGTTAATCCTGTAATCCATCCTTTTAATTTATTCTTTTAATTCCAGAATCTCGTGTTTATTTAGTCATCTGACTACTAGGAATTACTTTTGAAGTATAATATTACAGGAAGACAAAGACCAGAAGAAAGTATTACACACAGGGTTTCCTGTTTATAGATTTCAAAATACTTTAGGAACCCCATTAAATGATTAATGGTGGAGAATGGAATATATCCAATGGATGCACTAGAAGTTTCTACACAAATGCATTGGATAGCTTGCTCCAATGTCTGACTCGGAGGGAAACATTCTAGTCACTCATGTACACAGAGAAGAAATCTGATGATAGACGGATGTAACTGTTGGGAATGAAGTGGCAGTGTTAATACTTCTGTTTTCTTTTCTTTCTTTCTTTTTTTTAAATTAATTTTTATTGGAGTATAGTTGCTTTACAATGTTGTGTTAGTTTCTGCTGTACAGCAAAGTGAATCAGCTATACGTATACATATATCCCCTCTTTTTTGGATTTCCTTCCCATTTAGGTCACCACAGAACATTGAGTAGAGTTCCCTCTGCTATATAGTAGCTTCTCATTAGTTATCTTTTTTATACATAGTAGTGTATGCATGTTAATCCCAATATTTCATTAAAAAGATTTCATCAAAAATATAATACTGGGATGCTGAATTTTTTAAATGACAGCATATTCTGCTATCAAAGTGTCCAATGACACCAGTCAGTTTCTCTTTCCTTGTAACTTCAATTCTCTTCTGTTTTTCTGCCAGTTTTTGAAAATAAATATGCAAGAAAATCACCAAAATAAACTATCATCATTTTCATCTTTCTAACCTCCAACAAGTGCTGACTCCTCCCCTTTTGGACAGTAATTCTGATGTGTGGAGCAAAGGGATTTTCTGATTCTTTTTATAAAAAATATTTATTTGATTGCACTGGGTCTTTGTCGTGGCAGGCGGGCTCCTTTGTTGTGGCAAGTGGGCTCCTTAGTTGCGGCATGTGGGATCTAGTTCCCTGACCAGGAATCGAACCCAGGCCCCCTGCATTGGGGGCATGGAGTCTTAACCACTGTGCCACCAGGGAAGTCCCTCTGATTCTTTTTTTTTTTTTGGCTGCTTTGGGTCTTCATTGCTGTGCACGGGCTTTCTCTAGTTGCAGCGAGTGGGGGCTACTGTTTGTTGCAGTGCACGGGCTTCTCATTGCGGTGGCTTCTCTTGTTGCAGAACACGGGCTCTAGGCGCATGGGCTTCAGTAGTTGTGGCACGTGGGCTCTAGAGCGCAGGCTCAGTAGTTGTGGCACACGGGCTTAGTTGCTCCACGGCACATGGGATCTTCCTGGACCAGGGCTCGAACCCGTGTCCCCTGCATTGGCAGGCAGACTCTCAACCACTGTGCCACCAGGGAAGTCCCCCTCTGATTCTTAATAGAAGTAACAATACTTGGAATTTCGGTGCTTTGGGGATTTTTTTTCTCAAAAGCACAAACTAATCTTTTGTACTCTTTCCAAGAATTACTATATGACAGTTTCCAATCTGATTATGACTGTTTATCAATGCACAGAAAATTCAAAGACAGTATACAGTACCAATGATCAATAAAAAAAGAAAAGGAGAACTCTACAGTTTTCTTTTTCCCCCCACATCTATAACAAACGTGGCAAGAAGTTTCTTAAAGCATTTAAAGAAGAAAAAGGGCAAATTTTTATAAAAAAGGAAAGAAAAGAGAAAAAGAAAGAGGAGAAATGGGTGCTGTTCAAGCTCGGAAGATTCTTGAGTTTGATGAAGTTGTAATAGAAATAGTTTAAGGGAACATGGAATTTGAAAGCAATTTTGAATGTTGGAAAAGAAGTAGCAACATGAGGCTACTGTTGGAGCATATACGAATGCTGATTCCTTCTTTTGGAGCAAATCAAAAGTCTTGCATTACCAGTCCCTTAACTAACCTGCTCTATTCCAGCTTCAGTTTTGTGGTATATCTTTTCCCAAGGTAAAAAAGCTGTCATCAAATGAACATTTTTTTAGATATACTATTTTCTGGCTATTTTTTTTCTTGTTGCCCAATTACAGGGGTAAACAAGTTATTTCTTCTGGGTTCCATGTCTGAAACTCTTTATAGTAGAGAGGATTGTTACAAAGCTCAGAAAGACACTGTATATGAACATACGTTGAAATATACAAAGAATCATATAAATATAAGGCAACATCATTACCAAAATCACTTTGTGATATGTCCATTTTCTTTCCTTTTGTTTTTATTTTTCTCTCTTATGCTATCTTTATTTTATGAATAACCAAAACTGCTATATTAGAATTATAATATTATTCAGTTAGGTTGAAAATGGGAAACATTTTTGGATTTACTTTTCAGGAAAACTAACAAAAATACTCTAAACTGCAAATTTTTACTTTAAATTGAGGGTGGTATGTTAAAAAAGATTAGAAAACACAATCAAAAGAAGTTATTTTCTAAAAAGTAGTTTTTCTTCTCTATTTTCAGTGATTAGCCAGCTGCTTTGGTAGTGGTCATTGTCATCAAAACTGCAATGGAAGCAAAATTCCATAGCCTGGTATGCAGCCCTCAGAAAGCTCCTCTTATACTTCAAGGTAATTCAAGTTGTTACAGTAGTCATTTAGAGGAAAGAAGTCAATGGTCATAATAAATTATTTCTTTTCTTAGTATTTATAAACAGAGATCTCTGGGAAACAGACTGTGTGCAAAAGAAGGCAAAGAAAACAAGAACAAATTATCAGATGGCTACAGTCACAGGGAATACGGTCTGTGTTTGGCTTGCGTCCCGTTCCTAAGCGTTTCTGCTTAGACCAGTACTGCAGCAAGCACACATTTTGTATATTAAACATGCAAGAAGGAAAAGCCAAAACCTGAAATGCCGTCCACTTCCAGTAATCTGCATGCTTTTTTTCTGGTTTATCAAGTAGTGTTTTATATCAGATGGGAGATCTGGCTTACTCCTTGGGTGCTTCCCTGACGATTGCTTTAGTGTTTGCTATGGTATCATTACTTAATGTTTTATTATTTCCCCAAGTAAAAATAAGAAGGAAAGAAGTAAACCCATTCTTTAAAAAACATAACCCATTAAAAAAGGAAAAAAAAAGGACTTGGAGTTTGGCTACAGTTCATTCTCTAGAATGAATAATTATGCGGGGCTCTCAGGTCAATACTAACCAGAACAGAGACGTGTGCACGAACCAGCCCTATTTCACTGTTAGTTATTGGTCTTTAGTTTATCTTCCCTCAGTCTGCTCATCTGGAGACCCACGTGGAAGAGCCAACGCCAGTAAAAGAATGTTCTGCGTTCTCCCCAGTCTCCCTTCCTGTACAGGCCCTTTTTTCCTGAAGCTTGGTCACTTTGCTCTCTTCACCTTCAAAACCCCATCAGAATCCACACGAAGACCGAATACTGGCAGAGTATGCCTCCCCAAAGTATGCCACTGGGCATAAGGATTATTTCTAGCTGCAGGTGCTTGAAAAACAGCAGGTACAAGAAGGATGCTCTCACCTTCCCCCCACCCCCTTTTTTTAAAATTTATTTTTGGCTGTATTGGGTCTTCGTTGCTGTGTGCAGGCTTTCTCTAGTTGCAGCGAGCGGGGGCTACTCTTCGTCGTGGTGCACGGGCTTCTCATTGCAGTGGCTTCTCTTGTTGCGGAGCACGGGCTCTAGGCGTGCAGGCTTCAGTTGTTGTGACGCATGGGCTCAGCAGCTGTGGCTCGTGGGCTCAGCAGTTGTGGCTCACAGGCTCTAGAGTGCAGGCTTAGTAGTTGTGGCACACGGGCTTAGTTGCTCCGCAGCTTGTGGGATCTTCCTGGACCAGGGCTCGAACCTGTATCCCTGCATTGGCAGGTGGATTCTTAACCACTGCACCACCAGGGAAGCCCCTCACTCCCCTTTTCTTCCCCAAAGCAGAAGATAAAACTCCCTTTTGAAAGATGCCCTCCTGGTACCAGGAGGAAAGGAACATTCTTACCACCAGAGATGGAGAGTGGAGGCCAAGAGCACTCTGTACAAACAGACCTTGTTAAAATAACTCTGATCTTCCTTTGCTCTCCCCATATATGTTAGTTACTTTTCCACAACTTTCTTTATTCAACCTAGTATATAAACACTTAGGCCTGGCCTCTTCTTTGGGTCTTCATTTTCCCGTGAAGGCTCCCATGTACATGTAAAAATAAAATTTGTATACTTTTCTCCTGTTAATTTGTTTTATGTCAGCTTAATTCCCTGGCCTAGCTGGAGATCACAAGAGAGTAGGGGGAAAGTTTTGCTCCCCTTCAAGGCCAAGTGTAGACATTATACAATGGCTCAGATTCTTTTGAACTAGTTTTTCATTATAGCTTGCTGTTCTTCTAATCCACCTGGAATGAGTATTCTTGAGATTGGAATTGGGGTAATCATAAAGCTCATCTTCTATATGATTCCACTTACTTTCTGGTTTCCGGCTTTTTACTTGACTGCCTGCCTTGGGTAGACATTAAACAGGAAGGCACTTAAGCAGGAAATGAGATAAAGACTGACAAATGGCACACCTCAATAAAACGGAATGTGCACACATTTCCCATAGATGTAGATTTCGATAATCACAATTTCTATTAGTAAACCATGATGACCTGCTCGATATTTTTGTTATGCAGAAGTTTTTCCTCTTGAAAAATAACTGTTAATATTTGAATAAAAAGGAAAAATACATACCATCTATGTATTTTAAGCAAAAGACTTTATTTGGGGGGCAATTATTTTTAATAATATTAAAATTTTTCCAGAATACCAATGCTTTCTTACTCTTTTTAATTCTCATTTAAAGGATCAGTTTATCCTGAAATATGTTACAGAGGAGAAATGGAAAGATTCTTTGAAAAAGTGAGTATTGAATATGTTACATAAAACTCCTGCATATCTAGTCATCACTTGCTAGATGACTATTAAACTGAGTATGCAATCAGCTAAGCTAATAGGAAACACAGTTTGAAACTTTATTGATTTTCTACTGTATAGCACAGGGAACTCTACTCAATGCTCTGCGGTGACCTAACTGGGAAGGAAGTCTAAAAGGAGAGTGGCTATATGTATATGTATAGCTGATTCACTTTGCTGTACAGTAGAAACTAACTCAACATTGTAAAGCAACTATACTCCAACAAAAATAAATAAATAAAATAAACTTTACTGATTTTGACTAAAAGCACAATTTGCCTTTCCTATACTTACGTTAAGAACCATATATAATAAGGCAAAAAAAAAGCTTTAGATTATCTTTTTAAGTTGGACATTGAATTATAAAATTATAATACTTAATAAAAATAGAACACATAGAAACTTAGAGAAGAATTATACAGAATATGAACTAAGGTAAAAAAATATTAAATCAGTTTTGCCATAGTGACAAACAGAAATAGCAGTACAAAGCAAAATTGGTGTCACTGGCCAAATTGTATGCATCTTGAATTGATCTGTGGTGTGCAAGTTAATTCTGTTCTTCAAATATGTCTCTCTCTCTCTGTTTCTTTGTTTCTCTCTCCCAACGCACACACGCATGGACACACATTCACAAATACATACATTCAACTTCTTTGGTCCCAATCTACCAGAGAACATTATTTCTTGATTCAATTATCTTCAAAAAAATGTTTTCTGGGGCTTCCCTGGTGGCGCAGTGGTTGAGAGTCCGCCTGCCGATGCAGGGGACACAGGCTCGTGCCCTGGTCTGGGAAGATCCCACATGCCGCGGAGCGGCTAGGCCCGTGAGCCATGGCCGCTGAGCCTGCGCATCCGGAGCCTGTGCTCGGCTACGGGAGAGGCCACAACACTGAGAGGCCCGCAAAAAAAAAAAAAAAAAATGTTTTTTGAATGCCCTGTATGTAGTAGTATAGCGCAGTAGTAGCTATGTAGTGGCAAGTAAGACACTGGTCCTCTAGGTACTTAGGGGAAGAAATAAATTATGCACACAAACAGTTATAGTAGAAAACAGAGTCAAACACCATAAATGAGACATCTAATGGTTCAAGAGATGTCATTTTGCTTGGGGACAAGTCTTATGGAAAAAGACAAGTCTTTTGGAAAAAACAATGAAGTTTAGTGTAGGCTATGCAGGTGGTGAGGCTTTTATAGAAATGATGGCAGGAAAGCTGAGGGGACTGATGGAAACCAGCAGCGTGAGCAATGACACAGAGGAGAGCCCAGTCTAGAGTGATTATGAGCAAGTCATTCTATTTAGCTGCAATGTAAAAAGTGGCGAGTAGCTGGCAGGGCAGGGAGGATGGAGAGAAGCTTGAGAAGGTAAGTAAAACCACCAGTAGGAAATTATCCTTTACTCGGAAGACAGTGAAGATTCCTAGGAGGTTCTGGAGAAAGAGCGTGGCATGCTCAAGTAGCAGTTGAGAAAACATTATTTTTAAATGAGACTGTAGGTTAGACTGTAGGTACAGAGATCGATTAGCAGGTATATGCACTGCCCAGAAAAACGAAGGAAGCAGTGGAAATGGACAAGAGGACACCAAGCCACAGATAGTTCAGAATCTTTAGGACCTGGTAATCAGAAGAACTTGGGAGCTAAAGGTGTTACTCTTGGTTACAGCCAGATAACAGAAGGTTAAATTGAATTAGCTTAGGCGAAAAGAGTTCACAAACTCCAAAGGGGGGCTGAAACCCAGCCCTGGGAGCACTTAGAGCCAACTAGAAGCAGGGACCCAAATGCCATCCTATCTCTCACCTACCATCCTTCCTGCAAGCTGTTGTCAACCAACTTTCCATCTTACAGAGGAGCTTTTTCCACGTGGCAGACATGGTCACTAATACCTCCTGAGGTTTATGTCTTTCAAGTTCTACCACTGAGAGGAAATAACAAACAGACATTGCTTTCTTCTCAAATCCAAACATCACAGGAAATAACTGCTTTCCATGGTAATTTACATGTACTATCTCACTTGATACTCATTAACAGGCCAATGAAGCAGGTACTTTATCATCAGAGAAACCCATGCCACCCATCTAGAGGATAGTAACCTAGTGATTAAAATCCTGCCGTTTACTTCAGGGTCAAGCCATCAACCACTGTGTACTGCTGCTCTCCACAGGCATACTGTGGATCCACCCTTTAGCCAATCATCTGAGGCCACAGAAGGTTGAACCCTGTAAGACTGTGGCCATGTAGCTAGGATGGGACAGTTCTTGAAGAAGCAGGGCTGGCAGACAGAAAAGCCTCTAGAAAAGCCACTGAACAAAGACAAATCCAAAGTATCAAGCTAGGGTGCTGAAAGATGAAGCATCAGGAAGTGATCATTTGCAAGAGAACATAATGAGTTTGACTTTGACTAGTTTGGTTTGTGCTGGCCGCTCACGTATGTAGATATAGCCACCAGGCAGGTGGGAATCAGATAGCTGTGTACCCAGGTAGAGACTAATTTTATAAATCTAGGAGTCATGCTCAAAGCAGGGGTAATTAAAGAAAAGGGAGTGGATGTTTGCTGAGGAAAAAAGTATAGAGAGGGTTCTAAAAATGAAAGAGAGAGTAGGAGTTCTTGGTGGAGGACCCGGGGAAGGAACTTGGGAAATACTTCTACGTTTGGAGAACAGAAAAAGGAAAAGTCAGTAATAACAGAAGCAGAGAAGAAGCCACCAGGAAAAGACGAAAAGGGTGAGAGAGGAGGGTCCAAAGACAAGAACACTGCAAGATGAAGTAATGACAGTATCATCTAGAGACAGAGAAGGAAGGCCCAGAACAACCTAATTAGACAACAGTCACTGGCGTCCATTTGGCAGCAAAGCGTGGGAGGGAATGTTTAAACTAATCACGGTTTAAGGAGTAAGGAGGGGCAGTGGGTCACGAAGTGGGTCGCAGGTGTGATGAGTCTTTGACGAGGTTCAGTGATGAAGGAAAGAAGAGAAGTCGTATGGAAAACAGCGTTTTACGATATGGGAGCCCTGAGTCTGCTGTAGGTCCAGGGGGCAGAGCCGTTAGAAAAGGAGGACTCACACGTGGGCAGCCCTGAAGGAAGGAAGGCCTCGTAGCACCTCACCTACCTAGAACCTGGCGAGCCGGCAACCTCTCCTATCCAGAATACAATCAAGAACCACGAGGCAAAAATGGCCTCAACAGCCTAAATCAATGTCATTATACTTTTTCAATCAAGTTCATGGGTTTCACCTAAAAGAAAACTCTGATTCTTCTGCAAAACTGAATCAGTCTTACTCTCCTCTAGGTCAGAGATGGAGAAATGTTTCTCCTGGGCTCTAGTCTGACAGTAGAAAACCACACCCACATATACTCATGATAAAAGGTTGAATCAAATTCCCATTTAATTAGCTAAGGATACAAAATCTCATAGGACATCAGGAAGCCACAGAGCAGGAACAGATGTAGCATAGTTCAGCATGGCTTTCCTTGACCCAGGGTCCCTGGGAGCAGAGGTGGGATAGGGACAAGAAAATAAAACTGACACTGTCCATACAGGGTGGGGTTTTCTACCTGGAAACATAATTCTGGCTAAAACCCTGTCCTTCTATACTAAGTATTCAATCACCATTCTAGAACTTACACTAACACCATAGGTCATTCCGTCTAACAGAAGGCTTACAGATACCAGGTTTCCTGGTCCTTGAACCATTCTCACCATCAGCAGGATACATCAGTGTATAGTCAGTGCCAGGTATCCCCAAATAACAGCTCTGCGTCTGGTTCTCCAGTACCCTAGAAAGATCATTTCCCTTCTGAGTCAGAGATTTTCTGGTGCCTCCTATGTCCCTTCTCCAGCCATCTCCATCCTGCTCTGTGCCCTGGGAGAGGGATCTGTATGGACTGCACCAAAGAGATCTATCTTGCCTTCTGTATTCCAGTTGGGGTCGGCCAATAGGAAACACTGGAAGGACACTGAAATAGAGGAGGGAGATGAGGTCAGAGATTTGTTCTCATAAACTCTCTTCACATCACCAAGTTTGAGATGCCATTTATTTTTTGCAGGACCTGACTGCTACTACCATCCCATGACAGATAGGTTTCAGCTCCCATGCCAATTCTATCCATTGGTAGGCACTTCTGGGAGCATCTTTTGTGAAGGATTCTAAGACCACGTCCAGGCTTTTAGTGATTGGTGGGTCATGATTGGTTGGAGAAGAGTAGCTCTCATGCCAAGGGTTGCCAGCCCTTGTTTTGCATCTTAACAATCATCTGGTGTCCAGATTCTCAGAAGATGTAAAGCCAGAGAGACAGAGATTTGTTACAAGCGGTCAATCTGGGAAAAATTCAAAGTGGCGGCTGACAGAGTAGCAGAAGAGGAGCCTGAAAGGAAAGCTTAAAAAGTAAACAAACAAAAAAGCTAAACACAATGAGATTTCTGCTGAGATCCAGCCTCAGCTTGCTGGGGAGCCCCGGGGTGTGAGTGGCACCACAAAGTCGATGCTCCTTATAACTGTTGAACCAGCCCAAACTAGCCCTATCCTGTTTCTAAAAAGGTACTGAGTTGTTTTCAGAGACAGCAGAACAAAACCCGCAAGCCATGTGGCCAAAGCATGCCCACAGGAGAAAATTTTGACCTAAAATAACACCTGGAACTAAAGTTCCTCCCTACAGAACCAAAGGACTGAGGCATGACTGGAACCTGAATGCCGGAACGCTTTCAGAAGCGAAGGGTGCTGAGACAAGGGGGACAGGTTTTTGTACCCCGTGTCAGTCAGTCATTGGTTCCCTGGTTGGGTGGGTGGAGGCAGGGGGTGTGCAGTAAGCCTCCCAAGTAGTTTTGGGCAGTTCCCTGGTGAGGGCAATTCTCTGGAGAAGGGCGGATCCACAAGCTACTACCAGCCAACACTCACAACAGCTGAGGGTGGTGTACTGGTCAAATAAAGGCGGTGGGGTGGGACCAACAGTG